GAACAAGAACTAAATATTTTCCAGTTTTGCGTTAGGCTGGAACAGTAAAGCGTTTTTGTCGTTTCATAACACGTTCTTAATTTTCAAAACATGTTCTTAATTTTCATAAAACATTTGTTCTTAAATTTAAGAGCAAATTTGTTTTGTAAATTGCTTCCAAACACGTGTTCTTAAAATTCAGATGGATTTTTTTTACAGTGATCAAAATTTCGTTTGAGACTGGAGCAACTTGAGATTGACGACAATAATTGATGTGCCGTAATTGAGCATTGCTTGCTGGGATCGATTTGTCCTTGTCGCTGGCACGGTGAGTTGCCTACTCTCAAGGGGCACGCATAAGTCAAAATTACGTTAAAATGACGTCAAAATGGAGGAAGTTTGACCTGAATGTCAAAATCTAGTCCTCTCAGGTACGGACTGAGACGTCAAAGCCTGTAAAGACCCCATTTTGACCCGGTTCTGGCTTTGTGTTCTCACTGGGCTGCCTGCCTACCATCCAGGAGACTTATCAGGGATTAACGAGTGAAACTGGGGAATTCCACACAATTATTTCCGCTTGACAACCACGTCTGGGACCGGGCCAATCAGCTACCTGGTATGCCGTTAAAAAAAAACGAGCCCCACCACTGCTACTGTTGATTATTATTTTTAAGGAATGGGGTCAGTTTTTTTTGCGGTCCCTGTTTCTAATCGTCTCCTCTCTCGTCAAGTTAGGAACACCGCGATTAAAAAGCCAACGTCGTGCCGTGATTCTATCATCCACGAATCTGTCATTGGCGACCACTCCAGGGCCCGCACCACCTTTGTCCTCGCCGTATCGCCAACTCTTCGCGAGCCGTTATCTCTCGCTCGAGGAAGCGATGATAATAAAAACAACAAACACACTCGTGCCGCGTCCCGCATGCTGCAGCAGAATGGAATCGGAACGAGACCCGCCGTTACTAACGACGGGACGCGGGGGTTCCGGGGGGAATGCCATATGACGTGTCCGAGGATGAGGTGTATGATAATAGGCGCCCGTCAAAGTGATATCAAGTATGTCAGTTTCAAAATTTTCTCATTTTGGTGGCTTGATTTGACGTCAATTTGACAGCGAGTGATGTCATTTGATATCAGAATTAAACGCGTCATACAGGGTGGTGATCCGCGCCGTGGTTTTTTCTGCTTTTACTGTACCGCATTCTTGCGTTCGGACGGGTTATGGGTTGCATACTCGCACGGGGCCGTAAGGCGCCATGGCGAGCGACGATAGGCAAGCCCGCCCGCAAGCATGAATCCGGTACAGTGTAAGCAGAAAAGAACCACGGCGCGGATCACCCATCCTGTATCAGGCCACCGAAATGACAAATTTTTGGCACTGGTACACACTTGATGTCAGGACCGTGTTCTCTGGGGAATACATTGAATAATCTTACGAAAAGTTTTTTTCACTCCGCCGTTCTTTTCCTGGTGAAATACAGGACAGGGGAATACCCACCCAAGGCTCATGAGTGCGAATATCCTGATGGGCTATTCACAGGTTAGCCGTTCGCGCGCTTAGCGGATCGCGATCGCATGCATCGTTTGTTTTTGTAAACACCGACACCGACCCACTGTTCCCTGTGCGCTGTGCGTGCGCCGGTGCTTGAAATATTCGGTTTTATCTGACAAACCGTGTGAAATGATGATATTCATTGACATCCACTCTATCGCACTAACTACCACTTTTTCCCGGTTGTAAATCCAAGCGTTTTTTTAATCGCACTGTTAGTGTATTTATTTGGTAACAAAGTTAACCTAACTGAAAGAAAAAGAAGACGATTTTTATTTATAAACAAACAAGAAAAGACTTTTATATCTGTCGTATTAACACCTCAAAATGGTTGCTACTTGCCTTGGATTCTCACCTTTACCTCCAGAAGGACATGTTAGTGTTTGTGAGATTGATGGTAAAGTTTGTCACAAACCGTTTGAAAGTGCCAGTCCAATTGAATTTACCTCCACAGTAAGTTTTTTAAACAACTCATATGTTGCTGTCCTATATCTCTCTTAATTCCTGCATTTTATCCTACACTTGTGATGTCCAGGTGTCAGGCTACCCGTCAATATCATTATCACATGATGCAGTTCACATGGCTGCAGGGGAGGATGCTCGCCATGTATTCCTCCATGTTGAAGAAAAGCTGCTTAAAAGGATCATGTCTACATGGTAGGTCCAAGGTTTTTTCAATATCCAAGGTAGAGTCACTATACTAATAGTTAATAATTTTTCAGGTATGAACAGGGTGCCATAGAAGCACTACAACTGGCCTCCTCACCAAGTGATCAGTCAAGTGCTATCTTACAGTGGTCTGCTAGACTTGCTCTTAAGACCATGCACGTGATGTCTTTAGCTGTGAATACAATTTTCCCTACATTTGGTGTGAGTATAATAATTTTACCATTAAAGCTTCACTTACATGACTTCCAGCATACAGTCATTCTTTATTTTAGGAAAGAGGCCAACACACAAATTCAACTGGATCCCAGGCCCAATCATTGCACCGGAACCCTGTACGCTTTGTTGTTTGGCATCCACACTGTACAAAGATTGCTGTAGCTGTATCTGATGATTCAGTCAGAGTCTATGCAGCTGCAACACCAGGCTTTGTTCCAACTCTCAGAAGTAAACTTCAACGATCAGTAACTTGTTTAGCATGGAGGTGAATTTTGAAAAATAATCCTGGAATACCACGTTTTATTTTTCATTGCTTCTCAACATTGCCTTTCTTCCAATAGACCTCACTCAGCATCAGAGCTAGCTGTTGGTTGCCATGCTGGAGTATTGGTATGGCAGGTGGACCCAAAGTCTGTTGTTACTCGTCCATCCATCACATGTGCTACAGTTTTGAAGCGGCCGGGTCACAGCCCCATTACGAGCATTCAGTGGAACTCAACAGTATGTTTTGTCGAAGCTTTTTCAGTAGTTTATCTCATTTTAATCAATTAACAACAAATAATGTACTTACAGGGAACTCTTCTGGTTAGTGCTGCATCAAGCGACTCATCTATGTACATTTGGGACGTTGATCTGCAAGAATCAGTCCCTCTTCGTCGAGTTGGTGGTGGTGGTGTGAATCTACTGTCATGGTCACCTGATGTACACAAACTACTTGCTGCCACCACAAGTGTAACTTTTCGGTAATTTCAAATTGAAAAGAATTTTGGTTACTTTTTATCCATAACACCATCTTAATTCTGATTTTTGTCTTAATTTTCATAATCTAGAGTGTGGAATACCAGCAACTGGGTGCCAGAACGATGGCGTGTCTTGTCTGGTTATGTGCGCTCAGCTTGTTGGTCACCTTGCAGTACAATCCTCTTGTTCACTACATCCGAAGAATCGGTTGTTTACGCTCTTCAGTTTAAGCCAAACTGTGCCCAACTGGATACCATGTTTTATTCTGATACCCCTGTCAGTGAGCAAGGTGCACGGGTTGTTATAAATTTGGAACCTGAAGAGGTTGGCAATGGTCTGAGGTATCTACATTAAAAAATAATTAAACCTATTTGATGGTATATGCAGAAAAATGTTGTAACATCAAGCTCTTTGTATTTTATTCTATGTCTTACAGGATTGGAGGCCCTGTCATGTCAATGGTTTGGGACAAACTTGGCCGTCATTTAGCGCTGATATTCGAAAATTCATCCTTAGTTGCTGTTTACAGAACAGATTTGATGCCCCACCTTCTCATCACACCATGGTATGTTTCACTACAGTGCATGGCTTGTTAACATTTACTTATAGGTCTATAATTTTATTTGATTACAGTTGTCTCGTCAAGGGAGCATCGGGGGAGCAACCGACAGCTATTGCCTTTCAAAGCAATTTTGATGCAGGAGCATGTCTTACTATAGTAAGTACATCTGGGGATGTAAGCACCCTTGAAATCACTGTTTTATTTTTGTACTAAACCATTTCTGACTCATTTTATTAACAGGCATGGTCTACTGGTCGCATACAGTATTTTCCCATGGTCTACCAGGAATTAAAAAATCCAAGTCAGTCTATAGGTCATAACGATAGTGTACAATTTAGACCAGATCACTCTATCTTTGAATCATCTAGAATCCATGATGGGTCTTTATTGCAGAGCTTTCATGATTCATTCCTGTCATATTAAATACCTTTTTGTAAGAAAAAAAATATTTTCTTTTTTAAAAATGAGAAGATGTTAACAATATATTTCTATGAATTTATTTTTGATCTGATACTGCCATTTTAGTAAACTTATTTAATCTTGAAATATGTCTGAAAATTTCATTATCTCAGGTTAAATTCATTACTCTCACTTGGTGGAAAACTTAATTTATTTCCATCTCTGGATTACTTGGGGCAACAATATTCACATGTAACATTCAAGCCAGGTAAATTTTGCTTTAGAGCTTCAACCTGATCTTTGCAGGAGGCTCTGGTATGTGCATATGAATCACGAATCAGTACCAGCCGGCGTAGTGTTCCCTTGCAACATTCAAGTAGTTTGTCAAGATCCCTACAACTATTTGGCCACCTGTCCCAATTACTGTGGGCAGTACCAACTTTTAAGTGCACCTCTAGCAGGGTCTTAGCATTGCTTGAGAGCAGAGACTCAAGTGCAGGCCTAGGCACATGAGCTCTCAGGTATCGTAGTCCTATGTGACCCTCCTTTGGTGAAGGGAAAATAAATGGAGGTCTGTCATTTTCCTCATCGACTTTTCTGAGCCATAAGTTGAGTCTGCGCAGCTTTGGCATGTATGCATTTTCTAATACATCAATGAACTTGACGTCTAAGTCTTCTATATTCAGCTCCTCCAGGGAAGCTGCTGCTTTTTCTAGGACAGCCTTATTAAATTTGTATCCATATCTCCATATATCAACCCCGGACAGTTTGCGTGCCTGAAATCATTGTCAGATTACAAACTTACAAGGTACAGTGACAACCATTCGAGTGGATATTTTAAAACATATACCTACTTTTGGAAGGTGCTTTGAGTTCAGAAAATTGCGTTGTCTGCGTTCACAACTTTTTCGGTGAGTTGCGAACAGAGAATGGTATGTATCTTCTCTTCCCAAGTCAATTTCATAGGGGCCAATCAGATAGTTGATTCCATCTTCAGAGAGAGCTTCTTCGTCTTCTTCAGAATCATCTCCAGAATTTTCCTCATTTCCCCTTTTTTCAATTTCATTTCCCGTTTCTTCGATTTCATTTCCCCTTTCGTTTATATTTTCTTCTTCATGGATCCTTCTCTTTGATCTGGCGATTCGCAGGTCAATTGGATCATATGATATCTAACATAATTGTTAATAATAAAAATATTTGTAAAAAACATAGTAATAATTATACATTTGAAAGAAAGGTGCAAAATAGTTTTTTTATGCTTTGACTGAATAACAAAAAAAAAAAAAAAAATACAGAAAGACGTAGACTACTATCACTGCAAAGTTCTGTTCCCTTACCTGTTTAAGCTCGTGTGTCTGCCAGATGAATGCCAGTAGAGTGCACAGGAATATATTAAGGTTCTCATTTGATTCTAATGGTATTGAGCTAATCCACTCATTATTACTAAATTTATAATAACATGTGCCTTTGCCTTCTGCCAGTCGATGTAGTGCCTCCAAGTCACCCTCTTTCATGAAAGGTTTAGCTTTCTGGAGCTTTGACATTAAAACTGGCTGAATCATCTCAAGCGCCTGTTTTAGTTTATACTTTTCTGTTTCAACAGTGTCACTCATCTGTAATATTTAAAAACTACTTTACAAGCAGTCACAGTGGTGGTTTGCAATTACATTCTGTTGTGCAATTATATACAATGATAGTTTACCCCGCAACAGCATAGAGGATTAGAGAATTAAAAGAAAAGCATGTTTACCTTGTACAATACTGTTAACCAGTCGATGACAAAGATTACTGAACAATTTACTACTCGAAGCAGAGTATCAGAGTATAAAAGCGCTTCTGAAGTATCTATGGTGTATGCAGACTTTTTTGTCTGTCTTCTGTCTTCTGTCATCTTGCCTTGATTCAATTGTTTTGTGGTGGAAGGGGAAAATGGTGTGGGTGGGGGTAGAGAATGTCGTCGGGCGGCAATTACAAAAAGATGGCAGAACAGAAATCAAGTGCTTGCTTATATCAATTGATTATGTCTAATGAAAATAAAAAGTTGTAGGGAGTAGGGGACGGGGAAGGAGAGGAAATAATCGCAAAGGCAGGAATTACAAAAAGTTACTGGGAATTAAGGTATAGGCTGGACAAAATTGATATTAATGTCACCGGACATTTGCCTTAACATTAATACATAGCATTTGTAGAAACTTTAGTATTGATTTTTTATTTTTCTTATTGCTACATAATCTATTAATAAGGTTAAACACCTAAAACTCTAATTTTGAATCAGCTGATGATAGAGCTTTATCAGCAAGAGCAGCACGGTTTTGAAGCAGTTCACATTCTTCTTTAGGGAGGGATTTATTACTGCTTTTACGAAGCACGAAATGATTAATAAAGAGACGAAGACCCTCTCTGAAGAGATGTAGCTGAGGGGAGGCAGCTATTCTCCGAAATACTGCTTCACATTTTGATTCATCAGCTGATAAGAGGATTATAAGGAGAATCTGTCGAACTAATCGCACACATGGTTTGTCCATTTCAGCAAAGCTGAGAACCTAAAGAAGAACAAAAATTATGACAGTTACCTAGATAGATTAAAGAAGTTTTATGATCCTTTGACATTACCTTTAACGCTGAGAGAGGAAGACCTTTTTCAAGGAAAAGGTGTGCTAATAATTTTGCCATGTTGCTAAGTTGAGAGGTATTGACTTGTCCCAGCTCCTTCAGCTTGTCCCAGAGACAATATTGAAATTTCATCTACAACAGGCACTTTGTTAAAGAACTACATCCTAAGTGTAGTGCTCCACAATTCTAAGCAAGTGGTGCTTGTATTAACATAGTACCATTAATGATTACCTGATATTGCCGGTCAAAGTCACAAAATTTTTGGGAGAGATGGGCATAATACGGATTGAAGGATTTTTCTTGAAGGCAGCAATCAAACAAAACATGTACAATCTCCTGTCTTTGTTGGTTTTTCAGATTTAGATGTAGCAGTTTTTCAAATGCATCCAAGAAGTCCTAAGAAAATGAAAGTTAAGTACCAGTCATCATTAAAATTAGAAGAAAATTCACTACTATTTTTTTTATTTTTTTTATTACCACTCTATTTTTATGTACTTACCTCTGCAGTCATAAGAATACAAAATATATCCTTCCGAACACCAGTATTCATACGTTGTTTCCTGGCTAACTCTAAAAGCTGGCTGCTGTAGGAATTTGATGATGACTTGATAGATTTCACATCATTTGTTGGCACTACATTGGGGTTTTCTGCAGAATTTTCCCCAGGTAAATGTCCTGTCCAAGCAGAACCAACAATCCACCATCGACCCCGTTCCTCCGCTATAAGAGTCAGTTTGAGAGAGATTAAAATACTGTAATGATGAGTCTATAAGATCTTCTAATTTTGCCCAAGTAATGCTGCCATAATTATTACCATTTAACAAATCCTCAAGTGTTATCTTGAGTTCAGCAACATAATTCCCCCGCCGGACTAGAGTTCTTAGGAGTTTCTTAAGATGCTCCACATGTTCCGGGCTATAACTTGGTATCTTAGACATGTTGTTGTTTTTTACAGCCATAAGTATATCAAGCATAAATTTCACTCGAGAACTATTGCTAGAGATAAAAACATTGGTGTTAGATAGATAACTAGAAATAAGTAAGGTACTAAACACATACTTTATGAAACTATACCTCACAGCAGAGGGACAACTTGCTGCTTTTCCTTGCAACTTCAGGATAAGACTTTTCAAGGCTAGTGGATCATCTTTACGTAGAGAAAATCCCACACTACGCAGTACAACTAACAATAGCTCAATTCGCTTCTCATCAAGTTTTTCCGCAATCTTATCAAGGACTTCATACAGTAATGATGCACTAAATATCTGTTGAGTGAGACAAAATTTATATATATATATATAGTGTTTTTAACATACGTATCAGTAAAGAAAGAAATTAACTTCATAATACTTTGTCATACTACACTCACCTTGAAATTATATAAATGTGAAAGGATCAACACCACATTGTCTAATTCTTTATTTTCAACATCCTGAGATTGATCAAGCATTACTTGAAATTTATTCATTACATTTTGAAGAAAATGTGCCCCTGTGACAACCACAAAAATATTTAATTAATGCAAAATAAAATATACACACAAAATCCTGTCAAAGCAAGACAATATCTCACCAACTTCCGTGCCAACATTAGCATGGAGAACAGCAATCAAAAGCATATGTTCCATAACTAAGCGTTCTGGAGTAAGAACATGAGAAATCAAGGCATCTGAAAATAAACCTAACAAAGTCTCATTCATGTCGTTTCGACTGTTTTTCATATACAGTTCATCCATCTGAAAAAACATTTATGTAGAGTTTTGTCATGTACAACTTAAGACTGAAGCACAGACGAGGGCAAATAAAAATACCTGAGTGCAAATGCTAGCCATATTGTTCTCTGCCAAACGGTTTATCAGACCTTTCATTTGTCTGCGAAGTCGAGCAAGGGTTTCCTTGCGCTTTACATCCTCATCTCCCTGCATTTTTGCACGCAATGCTGGTGGAATATATTTTCCTGGCTTTTCCTGGAAATTAAGAGGTATTGAATCGCATTCCTGATGAAATATTTACAATTCTTGTGGACATCTATACTTACATCAATGACATTACCAGCCTTGTCTCGTGTTCGTCCATAAATATCTTGCCACGATCCATCAGGTTTCCTTGTCAACCTATCTGAATTTAATGGATTATCATTCTGATTGTGAACACCAATTTCTTCATCCTTTTCCATCATTTCTTCATCATCATCATCATCAGTGCTCTCCAGCTCCTCTTGATCATCACTGTGATCATCTTCATCCCCTGTTTCATCACTATCAGTGTTATTCCTCTCTTTGCCACAGAGAGGAACCTTGGATTGTTTTTGAGTATTTTTCAGTATGCCTTTAAGAGAGCTCCGCTTTTCTTCTTGTTCATCTACAGATAAATTAAATTTTACCCTCTTGCTGCTGCTTGATGTCTTTTTATCTACGAATTTATAACTTTGCTGCTTAGTATCTGAACTGAATTCCTCTTTACCTTCATCCTCCTCCATACTTTCTTCATTACTTTCATCAAGACCATCAGACATTTCCTCATCACCTGATGTATCTTCACCTTCAGACATGTCATCATTCATTTCCTCGTCGCTGCTGTCATCAACACCTAGACCAAAATCACTTCCAGAATCAAGATCTGAACCTGAGTCACCATTCTCATCTTCACTCATACTCTCGTCCCCAAAAGCTTTATCGGCTTGTGGCTTCTTTTTAAGTTTTTGGTCTTTCTTCTTTTCTTTTCCTGTGACAACAGCAAAGTCTTCCTCAAACTCTGATCCCGAGTCCTGAAGAGCTTGGTCCACCTTCACAGTTTCTTTCATTTTGTCTGGGTCACAAACCTCAAGTAAATCTAATAAGAGGGTTAAGAATATCAAACTTGCCCAAA